AGTTTGCCCAGGACATGAGAGGATTGGGAAAGTTTGCTCTGGCAGAAAGAGCAGCATAAACAAAGACACTGGGAAACAGAGAACGGTACACTGGGCATGAGGTGGTGAGGGTGGGTCAGAAGGGGTCTGCCTCATACCCCCGCACCGCATACCCTGGGGTGTGAGTGAGCTACCCAAAGTCCCCCGAGCTCCTGGAGGGCAGGGGCTGACCAGCTCTCCCCACGCTCCGGGTCATAATCATGCCTACTCAGCAAATGCAGCAGGAGTGACCGCGGGATCTCAGACCACTGGGGCAGGCCAGAGGCCAGCCCTCACCGTGCTTCTGCCTGCCCCCAGGGACCAGAACAAATACAAGGAGGCTGCCCACCTGCTCAATGACGCCCTGGCCATCCGCGAGAAGACACTGGGCAAGGACCACCCGGCTGTGAGTGAGGGTGGAGGGGGGGAAGGCTGCCACTGCCCTGTGCAGCTCCCAGGTCCCAGGACCTCTGTCCAGCAGGGCCCTGAGTCACAGAGGCTCCGTTCTTTCACACACAACCCCCTCCAGGTGGCCGCAACATTAAACAACCTAGCGGTTCTATACGGCAAGCGGGGCAAGTACAAGGAAGCCGAGCCACTGTGCAAGCGGGCACTGGAGATCCGGGAGAAGGTGAGAGCCGGCGGGCCAGGCGGGCTGGGCAGGTAGGGGGCCTGGGCCGACCCTGAACCCAGCCACTAGTTCCCACTCCCATCTCAGGTCCTGGGCAAGTTTCATCCAGATGTGGCCAAGCAGCTGAGCAACCTGGCCCTGCTGTGCCAGAACCAGGGCAAAGCTGAGGAGGTGGAATACTACTACAGGCGGGCACTGGAGATCTATGCCACACGCCTGGGGCCTGATGACCCCAACGTGGCCAAGACCAAGAACAACCTGGTACCCTGGGCCAAAAGGGCTGGAGGGAGGGAGAGGAGGCAGCTGGGGGAGGAAGGAAAGGACAGGGCTCAGCTCCCTGCATCCTACTTATCCTCTGGCCCCTGCCCTTCCAGGCCTCCTGCTACCTGAAGCAGGGCAAGTACCAGGATGCAGAGACCCTGTACAAGGAAATCCTCACCCGCGCTCATGAGAAGGAGTTTGGCTCTGTCAATGGTGAGTCCATGGCTGCCGTGTGCCCCCAGCTCACCCAGCACAGGCTAGATCAGCCATCAGCATCCACAGCAGCTGGGCAGGCCCTCATGCATGGGGTCTGGCTGGTCTTCAGCCATTCATGTATACACCTGAGTATGCACACAAACCTGGGCCCTGCCCATGCCATATACACCCTTTGCATACCCCATGCCTTTCTCTACTGCTGCTCACCATGAGGGCCCAGCCCAGATATCTCCCCCTTTGGCCCCGATGGTCAGTCATTTCCTGCTCTGGAATCCCTCAGCCTGGCCCATCATTCGTGCCCAGCTCATGTCTCAGGCTTTGGGCCTAAGGTGTCTAAAGGTCTGTTCCCCCAACCCCCTCAAGCACAGAGCTGGGCCACAGTCATCTCTGTTCCAGAGGAGGGTCAGTAATGTTTTGGGCCTGTTTCTTGTTCATTCATTCAACAAAGCTCAACCCTCGTCCTTCCTGGGTACCCCCCTCTCCAGACCCCAGTTCTATGTCGAGCCCAACCAGGAGAGACCTATATGGAAGGCTGGTGACAGCCCTTTCTCTCCCCAGGGGACAACAAGCCCATCTGGATGCATGCAGAGGAACGGGAAGAGAGTAAGGTAGCTCTGTGGGGCAGGGTGTACGGAGGAAGGTGAAGCTGGGGGTGTGTAGAGGGGAGGGCCTTTGCTTCCCACCTCCCCTGACCATTCTTTCCTCCCAGGATAAGCGCCGGGATAGCACCCCTTATGGGGAATATGGCAGCTGGTACAAGGCCTGTAAAGTAGACAGGTGAGGACAGCGGGGCAGTTAGCGGGGAAATACATCCTGGATGGGGCTGAGGCCAGGGTGCACATTTCATATTGCTCACCCTCAGGACCACGCTTCTTCTCTATTCACTTGTCTTTCAAGGCCTCGGTCATAGGCCACCTGTCCCAAAATGGCTTTCTGCATCAGGACCGCCTGGTTATCTCACTCTTGGGTGTCCCAGCTTTTAGTGGCAACTCTTGGGAATCATCCCACTTAGGGCTCTGGGGTGATTCCAAGACAAGGGAGTGCGGTGGGGCCTAGCACGGGGCTTGACACAGGAGGAGCAAGATTCTCCATGGCCAGATGGGTCATTAGAGCCCCGTGTGGGCTGGATGCCAGGATAGGCCCTGGTTCCTGGGGATCACCGAGTTTGAGACTGTCCCGCTGTCCTGTCCACAGCCCCACTGTCAACACCACCCTGCGCAGCTTGGGGGCCCTGTACCGGCGCCAGGGTAAGCTAGAAGCTGCGCACACACTGGAAGACTGTGCCAGCCGCAGCCGCAAGCAGGTGGGCAACAGACATGAGGGGAGCGGGCAGGGACCCGCGTGGCACTGTGTGTTCCAATCAGAGCCTTATGTGCCCTCTACTTCCTCAGGGCCTGGACCCTGCAAGCCAGACCAAGGTGGTGGAACTGCTGAAAGATGGCAGTGGGCGGGGAGACCGCCGTGGCAACCGAGATGTGGCTGGGGGCGCTGGGGCTCGGTCTGAGTCTGACCTCGAGGAGGCAGGGCCTGCAGCTGAGTGGAGTGGGGTGAGTCTAGGGGTGGGGGTGGGCCAGAAGGCTGTGTAGCCAGCATGGCACAGAGACAAACCTGTCTCTCTCCCCACCCCCAGGACGGCAGTGGCTCCTTGCGGCGCAGTGGCTCCTTTGGGAAGCTCCGAGATGCCCTGAGGCGCAGCAGTGAGATGCTGGTGAAGAAGCTGCAGGGTGGTGGCCCCCAGGAACCCCCTAACCCCAGGTCAGCCTCTGAACCAATAAGCCCCCCACCCAGGGGGAGCCTCTCAAGAACTCACCCTACAACCCACCAGCCCCAGATGAGCTCCTGACCCAGGGTGAACTCCCTCATCTCCCATCAGCCTCCTTCCCCAGCCCCATCCTAACCATCCTTTCCCAGCTCTACCATGGACAAATCCTGGCCTTCCTTTTCCCTCAGGATGAAGCGGGCCAGTTCCCTCAACTTCCTCAACAAGAGTGTGGAAGAGCCCGTCCAGGTATGGGTGGGTGGGTGTCAGGGCACTGGACAGCTGAGGCCCAGAGCCCAAGGCCTGCATGTCTCGTGCATCTATCTGGCCAGCTTCTCAAAGCATGTCTCTTCATCCAGCAACATTTCCTGTCTCTGTCCCAGGCCTGGCTTTGGGCTGGACACTGGAAAGACAAATGAGGGAAACCCAAATGGGTGGACATGCAAGTGGCCAGTGCCAGCAGTCATTGTGGAGGTGTGTGGAAGTGTTAAGAGTACAAGGGTGGGCTTGGGCCAGGCTCAGGGACTCTGGCTGGTCAGTCCCCTTCCCCTTCCGACCAGGGAAGCACAGACTGGCAGCAGCATGAGGCTGAGCCAACTGCTCCCTCTACCCACAGCCTGGAGGCACAGGCCTCTCTGACAGCCGCACCCTCAGCTCCAGCTCCATGGACCTCTCCCGACGAAGCTCCCTGGTGGGCTAATACTGATGGGGCAGTTGGTCGCCAGAGCCTCCACCCGGCACTGCCCCCACCCCCAGCCCTGCGCATGGGCCTGCTGCTTGTCCCGCCTGTCTCTCCCAGGGACCCCTGTCTTTTCTGTTCAATCTCAGGGTAACCTCCTCCCTTGTCATCTCAGCCTGAGCCCTGGAGGCTGGGCCTGCCCCGCTCCAGCTCTACCCCTTATTTATTCCTTCCAGCAGGGCCTCCCCTTTCCTAGGTTGAGGGCCAGCACGAGGGGCTGCCCGGGGTCTTCCAGGTAGAGACTCAGTGGCCCGCCCTCCCCAGACCCCGGAGCCAAGAACACTAAGCACCTGCCGTCCCTTCAGCACCCTTGTCCTTCAGGCCGTTGCTTCTGTATATAGAGAAATAAGTTATTGGCCGCGCCCCTCCCTTCAGTCCACGGTACTGCCTGGGCCTCCCCTCCCAGCCCTTCTCTAGTGGTACCGCCCAGGCCTTAATCACCCCTATTCCGCGCGGTGGTATCTCCCAGGCTCCACAACACATCTTGTGGGGGGCCGCCCCAAAGGGTTCCCTGGGCCTTCTCGCGCTCCTCCCGGCCTCCGAGGGGCGCGCCCAGACCCGCCACCGTCCGGGGAGCCCTCCCCTTGCCCGTCCCCTTACCGCCGGGCCCTGCTCTGCATCCCGGCCTTATGCACTGCCCTTCTCCGTCCGACCCCGCCCAGGCACGGTCTGATCCCGCCCTGGGCACTGCCCGTGGTGCCATCCAGCCACGCCTTCCACGCCTGCAGCTTCTCGCGAGGGGCAGTGATGCCCCACCCCCGTGATAGGGGCTGCCCCAGTTGGGGGGTAAGGTGGTCGCTCTATTTTCAAATGTTGCTGTAGAAATAAAGACGGTTTGAATCTGAGCTGGGCTTGTTTTGGGGCTGATGCCGAGGGTTCCCAGCGTCTGTAGTTTGGGGTGGGGTAGGGAAAGGTTGCGAGTGAGTGGGGCGTGTGTTGGTCGTCTACGTCCTGCCCCTCGCAACGGGGGCCCACATACTCCTAACCCGGAATTGTTTGGGGGCCCCACAGGTTCAGGGTCTAACAAACTTCATCTCAGGTTCTACAGACCTCACAGGCTTTGAGCACTGCCCCTCATCAAGCTGTTTGACCTTGAGCGAGTTATCGACTCGATTTTTTTCATATATAAAATGTGGACAACGACACCTTATGAGGCTGTGGCTGTGAGTTAGCGCCAGCACCCTGGATAAATGAACTTTTACTAATGCTCACAACTCTAGGTGTTGGGAGGATAGGGATAACTACCTCTGTCAGATGTGAAATGTGTCAACCCCAGCCCTAAATTGACCTCCCAATTTGGGGACGCCGTCAGGTTCCAGAGCGCAGTCCTCAAGCCCAGGTACGTCTAGGAAGCGAACTACAAGCCCCAGAAAGCAATGCGCGGCGATGACGGGAGTGAGTTCTTTGAGGTGTGGGCTCTTCGGTTTGCGCATGCGCAGCGCGGGTGTGTTTGACAATGTAAGAAGACTACAAGTTCCGAGAAGCTACTCAGCGAGGTCTCAGTCGAGCACGTTTGCGCCTGCGCGTCGCGGGCGGGGCCTCTGGGGCGGAGCGGCCACCATCTTGGAACGGGAGGCGGAGCAGAGCCGACTGGGAGCGACCGAGCGGGCCTCCGCCGCCGCCATGAACCCCGAATAGTGAGTGAGCCCCGCCCGCGCCGTCCGGCGCAGCCTCGATCCCGAGTACGGGGCTATACGTTTACCGGGGTTGTCCAGCCTGGGTCAGGACTGCGCGGCGCCCCCACATCCGGGTCCCTCTTCCGCTGACCCCCCCCCACATCCGGGTCCTGCTCCTCCCCCGGGGGGCCCCAGAACCCCAGCTCCACACCCCGAGTTCTTGAATCCTGGGCCCAGAGACTACGACCCCGAGGGGGACCACTTGGTGCTTGAGGCGCCGAGCATACTAGGCCTTATTGGTCAGGTGACCCCGCAGCCCCCGTCTCTCCACGCCTCAGTTTCCCCACCTGCTGATTGAGAGTGGCAGTCTAGGTGCTGACAACAGTCTCAGCGTTATGAAGCCCTGCACCAGATAGTTCCTGATCTTAGTCCAGACTTGGGCATTTTAGGTCGGGCCTTAAATCCTTCAGTTCTTCCCCGTTCTCCCGGGATCCGGTTCCTGGAGGTAGCCCAGGGGCTGGTTAGACACGGAAGGCCCCCAGGCGCCGCTCTGGGTAGCTCTCCCGCAGGTCCTCCCCTGCGGGTCCTCCCCTGGCCCGCCGCTTTCCCCCTTGCCTGGATCAAGCTGCCCGCCGCGGGTCCCTTCCCGTCCTCTGTTCACCTTTGCTCAGGCCCCCAGCGCCACCGTCACACCCCTTCCCTTTGCTATCACACTGCTGATGAAGTTTAGATGAGTGTGGCATTTGCTTCCCCCCTTCCAGTTGGATTCTCTGTTCCTCTCCTCACTTCTTGGTCACTCCCCCTGTGGGTAGGTGGCCCACATCTCTGCCCCAGCCTTCTTATTGATGGTTTTTCCCAAGTGTCAGTTATCATCTTCTTCCTCTTCCTCTTCCTCTTCCTCTTTCTACAGATCCAGGCTTCAGATTTCCTTGGGGAAGGATGAAGCTCTGAGCTGGATTCTAAGGGGGAACAGAGGAGGGAACTGACAGGTTCTCACAGAGACTTTGGAGTCTGAACTTAGTTTCCAGTCTTAAAATTAGTAGCTATGTAAACTTAGGGCATGTCACTTCCTATCTCTGACCTCTGGTTTCCTTATTTGTTGGGAATAACAGCACCCACTTCATTGGACTGTTGCGAGGCTTAAATGAGATGATGCATTGAAGTATTTAGTACAGGGCCAGGCACAAGTCAGAAGTCAGTACATTTTAACTGATAGCCACTTGTTAACCACCTCTTCTCAGAGGCTTCCTACCACACTGTTTACATGGATAATCATTTAACAAGTTTTAGGCTGGGCCCTGGCCAAGGCAGGTACACCTCAGGGCAGTGTCATAGGAGGGCTTCCCTATATAGCCCCTATTGGGCCCGAGACCATGGAGTCTTGTCAGGAATGGGTAAGATACCCAGCACTGTCACATAGCTAATTGTGACCCTCCGCAAGTCATGTCCCGTTCTATGCCTTAGTTTCCTTCTCTGTAAAGTGGGAATTCATACTTAGGCCTTTGCGGGGTGGTCAGCTTGCCCCTCACAAGACTTGTGGGAAGATCTCGTGATTGCGTTAGTACTCTAAACCAAGGCACCCCTCAGTGTGAAAGAGTGCTATAGCTGTGACTCCAAGATGATGATGGGGGGGCTCCCTGCCTTCCTTCACACTTTCCCATCCTTTCTCTCCAGTGACTACCTGTTTAAGCTGCTTTTGATTGGTGACTCGGGCGTGGGCAAGTCATGCCTGCTCCTGCGGTTTGCTGTGAGTAAGAAGCCTCCCATACCATCTATCTGGGGTCCTGGCTGGTGGCCGGAGGGAGGGCAACCCAGAGCACAATAGCTGAAAGAACTGGGGGACCAAGGATGAAGTTGCAGGACCTGCCAGCAACGTAGTTGACTGAACAAGGGCACATGGCTGGCAAGTTAGGTGCTGAGAACTGGGGCTCAGCAGTTAGGAGCTCCGCTAGGGCAGGAAACGAGGGAGATTTGCCAGCTGGGCCTGAAGCCTGTTCACTCAGGCCATTTCACTGGCCCCCTGGTCTTCTAGGATGACACGTACACAGAGAGCTACATCAGCACCATTGGGGTGGACTTCAAGATCCGAACCATTGAGCTGGATGGCAAAACCATCAAACTTCAGATCGTGAGTGTCGTTCTTCCCAGCATCCCTGGGGCAAAGGCAGTTGCCTTGAGAGGGGAGGGGCTCTGGGCATGGAGCCCAGGGCTGACCTGCCCTTCTCTGCTCCTGTCATAGTGGGACACAGCTGGTCAGGAGCGGTTCCGGACCATCACTTCCAGCTACTACCGGGGGGCTCATGGCATAATTGTGGTGTACGACGTCACTGACCAGGTACTCCTGGGCTCCCCTTCCCCAGCTTTGCCTCAGCCTCAGGTCTTTGGCTGTTGCTTCTTTTTGCTTTTCTCGTCCTTTCTTCTGAATACAGCCTGGAAAGGAGACTGGACTTGAACTTGTTTCACCAGGAGGGAAACAGCACAGAAACGGGTCCTCCTGGCCCTGCTTCAGGGTCATGGCAGAGCCAGGCTTCGCCCCTCCCCACCAAACATGCCACCTTTTTTTAGACCTTCCAGGCACCTGTGTTTTGGGGATGTTTATCAGTTGATTGGTTGCTGTGCTGGGCCCACGGCCTCCTGTGTGAAGACACTGTGGAGAAGCAGTTGGACAAGAAGCGATGGCGCCCTGCACTCTGGGCCCGGTGTGAGCAGGAGCCTGGGAGCCCTTTGCCTGCTGTGGCAGCATCAGTCACGAGTCATTGGCAGCAGTGGTGATTTTAACAACCAGAAACGGTCCCTCCAATACTGTGTAGTTTCCAGAATCGGCCGCAGCCTTTTTTTTAATTTATTTATTTTTTATTGGGGAACTGGGGGAGGGGAACAGTGTTGGGGAATTGGGGGGCGGGGAACAGTGTTGAGGAATTGAGAAGGGGGAACAGCCAAGTTGTCCTTCAATCTTTTTTTTTAAAGATTTTTTATTGGGGAATTGGGGGGTTGGGAACAGTTCTGGGGAATTGGGGAAGAGGAACAGACAAGTTGCTGTCGTTTTGTTCTTCAGTCTAGTTGTGGAGGATGTTGCTTCACTGAGCCAAGTTAGCACCATCATTGCGCTCTTCCCAGGTGAGGCAGATCAGTTGCTGGCTTCTGGACGGCCGCTCACTGCGGCTGCTGGCCGCTCACGCTGGCTGCTGGCTACACACGGTAGCCCATGGCAACCCACTGCCACAGGGGCTGCAGCCTACGCCGTCACCGGCGACTCACGGCAGCCCAGCTCCAGGTTGAGCTGTTGTTCAGCATCTTAGCTGTGGAGGGCAGTGTCACTGGCCCTCATGTGGGATCCGAACCGGGGCCCTCTGGTGTCCCAAGCTAGTTTTTAACCATCGTGCCACTCGGCCGGCCCTGTCCTTCAATCTTAATTGTGGAGGGCTCAGCTCAAGGTGCTGTGTTCAGTTAGTTGCACATGGGCATAGCCACCGTCCCATGCGGGAGTCGAACCAGCAGCCTCATTATTAAGAGCGCATGTTCTATCCACTGAGCCATCCGGGTGGCAGCTCAGCTCAAGGTGCCGAGTTCAGTCCCAGCCGCCGGCGGGCATAGCCCACCATCGAACAGGCAACCTTGTTAGGAGCACGTGCTCTCACCAGATGAGCTATCCTGCCACCTGTTGGCAGCTCAGTGGCAGCTCAGCTCAGGCATAGCATCACTGGCCCACGTGGGAATCGAACCAGGAACCTGTTGCTCAGAGCTCGCACTTTTGAGCAAGCTCTTAACCAGCTGAGACACTTGGCCGGCCACGCTGCAGCTTTTTGAAGTTCATAACACTCTAAAGAGGTCTGCATGTTCCCATTTCACAGGTGAGGAGGTGGGTCAGAGAGATGAGGAGACTTGCTCAGAGCCCTGCAGGTGGTTAAGAGACAGAAAGAAAGCCGAGGTCTGCTTATTCAACCTGCTTTGTTCTTTTACCAGACCTTGTTGCTTAATGGGGGTCAGGCTCTGAGGACATGGAGGTGTTTACATAAGCTCCGGCTAGGAGGAGTCCCTGTCCTAAGGGGCAGCTGGGCTCTTTGGCTCACCAAGGACTCATGATGCCTCCTGGACAAGAAGCTGGGTGAACTGTGCTCCACTGAAAGGTCACCAAGGACCTCTAACTGCCAAATCCTGTGACCTCATTTCAGTTTTCGCCCTGATTGACCTCTTGTGGCTTTAACTCCGTCTTTCCTCTCCTTGAAAAGTTCACTATCTCCAGCTCTCCCAGCTCCTGCTGCATTAGATTCTCTTTTCAGTAGCTTTTTACAGGTTTGTCCTGTACTGACTCCCATATCCCCATATTTTGTGCTTCCCAACCCTACCCCAAACCGCCTCCTGACTCTCCCTCATGGTTCTGGCCGCTTTGTGCTTTGGCTTCTGTCTCATGTTCTGTGATTCTTTACGTCTAAACGGCTGTCACTGATGGCTCTTTTCCTCAGTGCCCTACATGATACTTTATGTCTGCATTAATTCTGATTTTCATGATACAGCCCAGTGAACTGGGTCCCCGTTTTCCTGGAGAGGAAACGTGCTAGGAGAGGTGTTAAGTAACTTGCCCATGGCCTCGCAGCCAGGAAAGGCAAAGCGTGTTTGAGCCCAGTTTCCTGCTTCCGAGCTCACCTTTTTGTGCTCTCAGACCATCTGCAGAACATACCATGTCCAGCATTGGCCTCACCATCTCTTGCCCAAACTAGCTCGCTTATCAGTGTCGGCCTGACCAGAAAACTCTTCCCTCACCCATCCAGTCAGTCCCAGGCCCGCTCTGTTCTCCCCCATCATCTCACTCAAATCTGTCCCTTCATAATAATAGCCGTGATGAGGATAATAGCAGCTCCTTCTAATTAAGCACTTGTTATGAGACAGGCCTACATTCATTATCTGCTCACAACAGCCCCACCGGGAGGTACTGTTTTGTAGCAGTGAGGAAACTGAACCTCAGGTCACGTGACATATCTAGGGTCCCACAGTAAGTGGCAGAGCCGGGGCTTCACGCAGGCGTGGTCTGGCTGAATCCTGTGCTCTTCCTGCCTCACTACCTGGCTCGGGGCACGTCTTTTTTTCCACTGGGTTAGTCCAGCCACTTCCCACTTGGTCTCCATCTTTTTGCCACTGTGATCTGGCCCCCACTCCTGCCAAGACTCTTCCCAGCACACAGGAGTGTCCCTGCTGCCCCTTCCTGAGAAAAGCTCCTGCTCCTGGCTGGCTGCACCTCAATCAGGCTGCGCTCCTCCATGCTCTGGCCCACCTCCCCACCCTGTCCTTTCCTGTCAGGGCCTGTGTCCCAACCATATTCAGCTTCTCCCACTCCCACTCTCCAGCGGCCTCATGCCCCTCTGTTCTGTGACCTGTCATCTCCCTTGCTCCCAGGCCTAGGTCAGCTGAGCCTCCCTAGTCAGAGGCGGGCTGGCGCTCCGCAGCTCCTGCCTCTGCTCTGTCGCTGCAGTGCTGTTCACTCTGTCTTGCCATTGTGTATGTCCTAGTCTCACCCTCCCTGTCCCAAGTGCTTTAGGGCAGGGCCCAGGTATGATTGCCTTCTTTGTCCCTAGTGCCCAGCACAGAGCCCAGCCTGGGACATGGCAGGAGGTGGAAGTTGGAACCCTGGTGATATCACCAGGCCTCTGGCTCCTAAGAAGGGAAAGTGGCTGTAGCTCCAACATGTTCCTAAAAGTTCTGTGCTTTGTCCACATGCCAGGGGCGAGGGGTTGGAGGTGGAGAATGGCAAGCTGCCGAGACAGCCAGGCTGAGTGAGGAGGCTGTTGGTGCCAGAAGTTGGACGGATGTTAGGCCTGTTCCCATGATGCCTGTCTCCCTCATAGGCCAGGGTCTCCCCTGCAGGACCCTTCACCTGCCACTGGGCTCCAAGACTTCAAACCTTAAAGGGACTCTAAGGCTCCTGTGAGAACTTTGTGATTCTTGGCTAACCTGTTATTCTTTGTTCTTGTCCCCCCACTGGCTTGTCTGTCTTCTGATGCCATTTGCTACCTACATGTGGTTAATTGAGCCTTTCTGTCTCAGGGAGAGGCGACCCTCTGCAGGTAGCGGAGCTGGCTGGCACTTCGGCCCAGGCTGTCCAGTTGTTGGGCCTGTTGGCAGGCAGCTGGGGCTGGGCTGGGGTGGGCTTTTGGGGTCTCCGACAGAAGAAGGCAGGGAGGAGAGCTAAGCCTGGAGGAGGGTGCTTTCTCTGGGTCCCTGAACCCAGGGATATGCCCTGCCCCTTCCCTCCAAAGCCCGGATTCTCCAGGGTTAGGGTAGGGGTGGGAGTTGGTGGAAGCAAAGTAACTTTTGTCCCTGGCCCCTCTAGGAATCCTATGCCAACGTGAAGCAGTGGCTACAGGAGATCGACCGCTATGCCAGCGAGAATGTCAATAAGCTCCTGGTGGGCAACAAGAGCGACCTCACCACCAAGAAAGTGGTGGATAACACCACTGCCAAGGTGAGCAGGGCCTGGGCCAGGCCTCCCAGGGTGGGCTGGGGTCTGCTGCCCCTCACCCCTCCTCCCCTCATCGTCTTTCCTCTTGTCAGGAGTTTGCAGACTCTCTGGGCATCCCCTTCCTGGAGACAAGTGCCAAGAACGCTACCAATGTTGAGCAGGCGTTCATGACCATGGCTGCTGAGATCAAAAAGCGGATGGGCCCTGGGGCTGCCTCGGGGGGTGAGCGGCCCAACCTCAAGATTGACAGCACCCCTGTGAAGCCGGCTGGTGGCGGCTGTTGCTAGGAGGGGCCCTGCACATGGGGAGGGACAGGACGGGGCACCTTCTCCAGATGATGCCCCTGGAGGGGGCAGGAGGTGCCTCCTTCTCCTGGGGCATTTGAGTCTGTGGCTTTGGGGTGTCCTGAGCTCCCCATCTCCCTCAGGCCCATCTGCCTGCCGCCCTGACCCCCGGCTCTGTCAGGGCCCCCAAGAGAGGACACCCAGGACCTGTGGCTGGAGTGGGGGTGGGGGCTTGCTCTGCTGCTGCCTCTAGGTGACTTTAAAAGATACCCCACCACATACCTTTCTTTGGGATGAGGGCTCCTCTGTCTGCCTCCCTCCTCTGCTCCCCATGTATGCTGCAGTGGGTTTCTCTCCTTATCCTTCTTCCCTTTCTCACTGATGCACCCTTCCCCAAGAGATGAGAGCTTTCCATGGGCTCTGCTGCCCCTGGCTGAAATCAGCACCCAGGGCCAGGAATGGGTCCAGGGGATCCAGGACCCTGGGCCAGACCTCAGGACGGGCATGGGGGCCACAGGGGCCCAACAGCCCACCCTTTCCCCTCCTACCTCCCCTGCCACCCCTCCCACACTCATAGCTCCAGCCGTCCAGCTGCAGGGGGGTAGGTCTGAGCACATCTAGGGCAGGTGGGCGGGCAGCCATGCTGGGCCTGTGTCTTGAGCCCAGAGGGAGCCTGCTCTTGCCGCCCCCTGCCCTGCCAGAGCCAAGCCCATGTGCTGCCTGCCCACCGTGCCCCTTTGTCCCCAAGGCAGGCGGAGGCGGAAGGCCCACCGTGCCAGAGGCTGGGCACCAGCCTTAACCCTCACTCTGCCATCACCACCTCCCTTTCCCCAAGGCAGCACATCTGACTTTTTCTCCCCCTCCCTTGAAGCCTATGAGGGCAGATCCTTTTCCCATTGCTACTTCTCCTCTCGGGAATATGGGTGCAACCCAGAGCTGGGGGCCACTCCGCTCACCCCCGACCACCCAGGATCCTAGCCTCCGGCCCTCCGGCACAGCTTCTTCCTGCAAAAAACCAAACCTTTGGTCTCTACCTGAGAAGCCATGCCCCTTGTGCTGTCTCTCGCCTGTCCCACCTGTGCCCTGCCCTCCAGCTTGTATTTAAGTCCCTGGGCTGCCCCTTGGGGTGCCCCCCACTCCCAGGTTCCCCTCTGGTGTCATGTCAGGCATTTTGCAAGGAAAAGCCACTTGGGGAAAGACGGAAAGGACAAAAAAAAATAAATTTCCACTGGCCCTCGGGTGAGCCGAGGGTTTTTGCAAGGAAGTTGTGGTGGTTGAGTGTGGTCTGTGGTGGGAGCCGCTTTGGGGTGGGGAGGATGGAACTGGAGCCTTGGGCTTGACGGGTTGCACAGGGGTCTTGGCGTGGGCTGTGTCCTAGGGTTGCTGTCGAAAGCCCTTGACCCACTTCCTGAAGCCAGGAGAGCTGCCTGCTTGTGCTACTGTCGTCTGTCCCCACGGGGCCCAGTACGGTTCCTGCAGGGAAAGAGGCAGGCGGCCATCAACGAGTACCTGGTGAGCTGCCGCCAACACCCACACAAGCACAGGATGTGAAGTTGGGCTGCAGCGGGGAGGGAGCAGACATTGTGTCCCGTCGCGCCTGGCCCGCGTCACCCCCAGCCCTTTGGTTCAGCCCCCTCTCCCGGATTCACTGTGGGTTCAAGCCAGGTGTCTCTGGCCCCTCGGGTAGTGACAGTGCTTGCAACTTAACACCTCTTAGTACAGCCTCCCGGTGGTGAGTGAGGCCAGTGGGTGAGGGCAGGATTGTGTGCCCGCCCTTCCGAGTGTGAGTGTGGCTGTGGTGGGTTTGTTGTGTGACGCCGTGGACGGGGGCTGGGGGCAGACATACCAGGGATGTGCGTCCCTGCCTACGTGTCCCTGAGGTTGGGGCTGGGGGTGGCGCCCGGCTGGCGGCGGGGCGCACAGAGACCCAGCCCCGCCCGAGGCCGCTCGCACGGCGGCCCCGCCCCCGGCTCCGCCCCGCCGGCTTCGCGGGCTGGAGAGCGAGGGAGCCGCGGGCGAGGCATCGCAGGATGAGCGATCGGGGCCCGGGCAGCCGGCAGCGGACGCGCCCCCCGAGCCCACCGGCCCGCGCCCCGCGCGCTCCACGGTCCCGCGGTCCCGGTCCCGGCCGCGCCGCCCACATCCCCCGATCCCGCGCCGGAGCCCTGCGGGCCATGCCCTGCCAGCCCTAAGCGCGGGCCGGGGGGCGTCCCCTTGCGCCCGGGCCCCGCGCTGGCGCCCCCCGGGTCGCCGTCCGGCGCGGGGGCCATGGCGTTCACCTTCGCTGCGTTCTGCTACATGCTCACCCTGGTGCTGTGCGCCTCCCTCATCTTCTTTGTCATCTGGCACGTAAGGCTGGGCTGGGGCTGGGGGCGGGGTGGCGGGTAGGGGGCGCACGGAATGGGAGGGGGTCGGGCGGATTATCAGTCTCCGGGCACAGGGAAACTTGGAGCCTCCTCTCTGCTCTCGCCCATTGGCCGGCTTCTGTTGGCCCCTATTAACATCCCCATCGTCGGCTTCCTTCCTGGAGGGCCCCCCATCCTCCACCACCCCCAGCTGTCTGTAGGTATATCAGTTGGTACCTGAGCTCCCGCCCCTGCCCCATGCAGCCTTGGGGTGTGGGGCGGAATTATGGGATTCTTTCTCCTTTCCTTCCTCCTACCCCCCCCCCAAATCAGGTCGCCCCCTCTGTCGGGCAGTTTGTCGGCCTGTTTGCCGGCCCCCCCCCTTTGTGGGTTTTTCCAGCCGGGGTGATGGAACCGGTTGCTATGGCAACAGCATCTGTTTACAGGACCCACAGATCGCAGAGCCCGTTAACCCTTTCCCTTCCCCCCCCTCCCCCCCCCCCTGCCCTGACCCAGCAGCGATTGGCTCTAAGCAGCGCCAGAGACCTGGCCCCCACCATCAGCTCACCTTGGGTTTCCCTACCCCTCCTGTCAGGGCTTCCCCCCCACCAGGTTTCCTCCCCACTTTCCAGCTTCCCTCCTCTCCATGCCCCCGCTTTCCCCTTTGTCTGGTGTTCTCTTTGGTCTCTCACTCTTGCCTGGCCTCACACCTGCTCCTTCAGAATGCCCATTTCTCATTCCTTTATCCTGATCACCTCCCCTTAGAGAGGGACCCTCTCCCCCATTCTCTCTCTGGGGCCCTCTCAGTGGGGCCCCTGCTTGGCTCCTCTCCTCTCACTACAGAACTATCATCACCCTTCAGCTCATTGTTTGGGGCCTTCTGCCCCCCTTTGCTGCCCTTTCCTGCTTCTCTGTCCCCTAAGGTTTGGGCCCCTACCCGATCCCCTCCACACAGCCAGCCCATCTCAGCCCTAGCCTACTCAGCTGGACTTCCTCCAGCACACACCTCCCTGATCTTCCCCCGGGGGGGGGGGGGGGGCTTATCCCCCTCCAGTCTCATCTCCCTATCTTCCTTCCTTCCTTCCTTCCTCTCACTTCCTCCCTATTGCCTCCCCTGCTTCTTTCCTAGTCTTCCACTCCCTCTCTCCTTTCTTTTCCGGGGACCTGCTGTCTACCTGCTCCATGGTCCTCCTTGGCTCTTAACCAGTCTCTCCCCTGGCCATCCCCTGCTGCCTGTCTCTTTTACATCAGGGCTTCATGGACTTAGACTGTCCTTCCTGTGGGAGGAGTGAACCCCCACAGGCACCTTCACACACACCCCCATCTCCTGCCCTCTTTATCCCTAGCTTTGTCTCTCTGTGAGTCTCTCAGTTGCTTTTTCTTTTGTCTCCCCCTTTCTGTTTCTCTTTTCCTCCCTCCATTCTCCCTGGGTCCACCTTCCTCTCTCGAAGTGTCCTGTCTCATCTGGGCCTTGAACAATCCAGTAGGATAGGAGCAGGAAGGTTGGGTCCTGAGGACTGGAAGGAATTGAAGCTGGGAACACAGCAACCAGCTCCTGGGTGACAGGCTTCTGAAATTCAAGAAGCCCCGTTCTGGGCCCTTCCACCCAGAGGTCCCCCACAGTCCCTGTGGGAGTCTCTGTCCTCAGAGGTTCCTCAGAGCAGTCCTCCATCCAACTAACTTGGATTAATGCTTCCTGAGAACCAGCTCTGGGAGGTTTTGGGGGAGTCAAAGATGAAAAAGACTCAGGCTTTGCCCTTGTGAGGCTCCCAGGTTGGGAGAAAGGGCCCGAGCTTTCTCAACAAATATTTATTGAGCACCTACTACGTATCAGACACTGTGTTGGCTCAGCTATCTAGCTGGGTGATCTTAGCCAAGTCCCTCGTCCTGAGTCTATTTCCTGGTCGGTTAAGTGGGCTTGTGCGTACATCACAGTGCCCAGCACAGGGCCTGCTCAAGGGACGGGGAGGGGACAGGAGGTGTGGTCCTTAATCCAAATTGGTAAGAACTAGAACCTCCCAGGGCAGGACCCCAGATCCCACCCCACACCCTGAGCCCAGGCCCCACTGGTCGCTAGGCAACCCTGGTGGTGAGTGACGCGTGTCAGCTGTCACCGGGGGATTGTTTGTTCCAGGGGGCTGAGTCAGTGCCAGGCAGGCTGGGGGGTGGGAGGCGAGACACCCGCCTCCTGCTGGTGGTGCCAGCTCTGGGGCAGACATACGGCACCCTTCCGCTTCCTGCTGGACCCTGTTGCTATGCCTGGCAGGCAGGGGGCTGCCCAGAGTCAACGGGGAGTTGGGGGTGCTGCTCCAGATGGGCTCAGCTGCCTCCAGGAAGCCCATGTTTTCTCCCCCCTAACCTTCTGGGGTCTGGGTTGCTTGGGTATGGGTGGCCTGCTACCTCATCCTAGGGCTGCTTCTGAGGGGAGGAAGTCCCAGAAGACTCCTCTGCCAGCCCTCTACCCATGCCAGCTTCCCCTAGGTTTGTCCCATATCCCCTAAAACACCCGCTCCCCTCCACCCTCCACCCCCCCCCAAGTTCCCCATGCCAGTGAGGATGCTGCCATCTACCAAGTGCCTCAACACCCAAAGGCACCTTGGGCCCCTCTGCCTACACTCCACCGTCATTCAAGCCCTCTGGGTCTGGCTTCTAAATAGCTCTGGAATCCATCCACACACCCCTCCATCCCATCACCACTCTCCTGACTCAGATCACCAGCAATGTCTCACCCCCTAACCCTCCAACAGTCCCCTCACTGGTCTGGCCTGCTGAATATGATAAAAGTGATTAAGGATTTTAACTCCGGAGTCTGAGTTAGAATCCTGGCTTGCCACTAACTAGCTGTGTGACTTTGGACTAGTCACTGAACCTCTGTATCAGTTTCCTCATCTGCAAAATGGAGATGATCTCAGTACCTACATCATCAGGTTGTTGCAAGCACTAAATGTGTTCATGAATATAAAGCCTGCTGGCATAGAGAAAGCATCATGCACGCTTGACTGGGACTGTTAGCCAGTTTATACTTCCTGCTCCCTCATCCTAAATCATCAACCTGACCACCCCACTCTGCTGCTTTATATCCCTCGAGGGCTCCCATTACTTTTGTGGCAAAGTCCAAACATCTGGTCTGGCCTCACAGGGCTCCTGTGTCTGGCTCCGCTGACCTCTCCAGCCTATCTTTGACCATTTCCTTCTTTCTTCCCACTCGCTTGACACTCTCATTCTAGTCCCATGGAATCTCCAGCTTCCTGAATATTCCTCATTCTTTCAACCCTCTGCCTTTAAACCTGCTGCTCAGACTACCCTTCCCCCATTTGTTCACCAAACACCTAATCAGACTCCAGCCTAAACCCCCCCATCAACCCCCACACTGGGTCAGGCACCCACCCCAGGTTCTCCCCAGACCCCGCAGCCTTGATCACCCTGGAAGGTAGTTCACAGTTTTCGTCCCAGGCCTCTAGGAACCTAGTGCTCAGCACAGGGCCTGACAGACAAGACAGCATCTCTTGGGGTGTTTTGGATGGAGGCGGCATGGACATGGCCTAAATTGGGCTGTCAGCACACTAGGGTTCCATTCCAGACTTGTGTGACCTTGGGCCAGGCCCTGCCTCTCCCTGGACCTCAGTTTCTTCACCTTTAAGTTTCATCTGGTCCAGTCCCCATGTATGAATTCCCATCCCATAGGATGGGTGGGGGGCCATAAGAGGCTGCCCCAACCCTGACAGGCACACGCCCCTCCCCCAGATCATAGCCTTTGATGAGCTGCGGACCGACTTCAAAAACCCCATCGACCAGGGGAACCCAGCGCGGGCAGTAAGTGATACATGTGCTGTGCCGAGGTGTGTCCGTCCGTCTGTCTTTCCATCTGTTGCGGGCTAAGGGGCGTGGGGGACTGGAAGACGGGTGTCTATGTGGGGGG